ACCCTTGGCTATCGGTGGTTCTCTAACTGATGTATGAGTTTGCTGTCTAACTTGAAGTATATATATATATATCCGCCTATTTCCTTTGGTTTTAAATTCTCTGATCTCAAAAATTACAAATAATGCAAGGATAAGTCTTTGTACTTGGTGTATAGTGGTTATCATAATGTGGTGAGAGCTGGCTGCTAGCCAGAGTTTGGTAGACAGTAATTGACGTCAATGTTTATGTCCCCAATATTGGTGGTGAGAAAATGAGAACAATTAGATGTCACGTGTGTGGATGGATGTCCCACCAACGACAGTGGTTGGGGTCGCACTGAATCACGAATGGGTAGAAGTTAGAATTCATGAGCCATTGAATCGGGTCCCAGTGGCTGAATGGTATACAAGCTTGCCTTGTAACCCGAAGGTCCTGGGTTCGAATCCCAGTGGGTGCGTACTGCCGATGATTCCCAAACTAGGCTGTCCAGTACTCCCAGCTGGTTTTCAGTGGTTCTCTAACTGATATCAATCCGTGATCAACTCGTAAGAACAAAGGCTTTGCGTAGGCGGATACAGTTAGCATATAGATGATCTGACACAGCCACAAAGAGATGCAAGATTAACTTTCTGTGAGAAACAACCAATCAAAAGACTGTATTTTCTACTAACAATAATGTACAGTAATGTACATTAAAATCTATAAATATGTGTTGATTTTCCTTAATAAACGATCTGTTGCCTGGCCCTTGTCTCCTGTTGTTACAATAGTAATAATTAAGCATACATTTATCCACCCCACACATGCAGCCTCTCTTTCAAGCTTAATTGTCACTCTCTAAAATGTTCTGCTTTTAAAACTTCCCTAGTATATTTATTTCTAATTATGTAGTAATCATACTTTTTAATTTGATAATGTTATACAATTTTTAGTTTATTTCACACTGGAGTTGAGGTTAGATATACACTGTGTTATTTCGGTTGTGAATTCACATGATTTTATCGTAGCCTGATATACTCATTTAGGGTGTGTGTGTGCTGTTATCTATGCGCGTTCATAAATTAATATATTCATAGTGAAACACATTCCCTTGATCAAAGTGAAAAGTGTAAAGCATAGTTTATGATTTTATACAAATTTAACATCGAAAATGCAAGACCAACATAACTCTGTCTAGACTTTAAAGTATAGTGTACATGTGTGTGTGCGAAGTGTACCGAAATGGTGTAACATGGTATGCAAATAAAAGTACACACACACATACACGCATACTCTATCTGAAATCACGCAATCATGTAAAAACTGCATAGTGAGAGATATCTTTTGAAGGCAAGACGAAGAAGTGTGGTGGTAGTGATGATGAGTGTTGTATCCTCCCTCTGGTACTCACTGTGATTACTTTCTTTTCTGTTTGATCACAGATTTTTGTCAGTTAGAGAGTCATTGAAAACTAAGGTGTACTGGACAGCTGTTTCTTCCTAGTGTGGGACTCTTCAGAAGTACGCATCGACTGAGGTGTGAACCTAGGACCTTTGGGTCACGATGCCAAGTCCGTTGATCATTCAGCCAGCCACTTGGTGGGTTTGGACCTAATGACCCATGAATTCTAACTTACGTCGATTCGCAATTTTAGCGCGACCGCTAGCCATTGTCCTCGGCAAGTATTTCTCTTCACAATCGAGCTGCTGGACCTCACTGGTCATTAGAACTCCAGGCGACTTTCCTTCCATAGGCAGTCGTCACGATAGTTAGAGTTTGTAGGGATTTTATTTGTTTCAAGTTTGATCGCGAATTGATGTCGGTTTTACTCAATTTTACTGCACATGGATGAAAGGAGTCGACATTAGAGGTTGACTGGTGAAATAATAGGCAGGATAATATAATCAAAACCCCCAAAAAATACTTCAGTCTTCAGAATATCTTCAGTAGATGGTCTGAATACATTGCCAATTTTTCCAGATGACTGATTTTGTTCGGCTGCTACCGAATCTCACTCTCATCTGCTGATACAACAATCCACCCTAGCCAGAAACTACAAATGTGAAATATGACCACTGGAGCATAGGAGATATAAATAAGACTGAATATTTTTCATCACACGTCTTTGCATATCATTGCTGATATATAGTAACAACACCCAGTAAGGTAGTGATAAGATCATGAATTCCCATAATAATAATAGTTTTATTCTGAAGAAATACGTTTGTTCATAATACAGAATTTTCAGCGAGTTCCATTGCAAGGTATTTAACCCTTGTATAGATTCTTCGAATATAAGTGAATAATCGATAATACACCATCTGAAGCAATATTATTCCTTCCGAAGTATGCCTCAGTGCTACTCCACATTTTTCCCCCTCAATTTCCTTCGAGTAATTCCCAGTGGTAGATAGAAAGTTATTTGAGTATAGATTCCAAGTGTGAGTATAGATTCCGACTGTATTTGGTGGATGGTGACTAGCAGTGGTATCCAGGATGGACGTTTCGCCCTATTTGGGACTCATCAACTGGATTTACCTGCATTCCCCAGTGAGTGATGATGTTCCCACCGAGGTTCGAACCCAGTGTCCATAGTTTCAAACGCCAAAGCGTTATCCACTAGACCACTTGGGCCACGAGAGCCACGTCTTGTGCACCGGGTCATATTAATTATTTAACTGAATCAGTAGACGGGAAAATCTAAAATTCAATTAAATAGATTCCGACTCTTTGTCGTAATTAGATTAGAACAATTTGAAATGGAGTACAAACGATGCATTTTGACAGATAGAAAATTTCGGCAGCTCAGTGATTTGAGCAGGCCGTCAATGGAAGTGGCTTGAGCATGTATACATGTAAAACGTGACAAGTTGTCAACTTTATTGACAAGTGGTGATAACCCAAATAAGATTGATTAGGTTGGAAAAGGTATGTATCAGTCACTATTCCTTCATGAAGTTTCTGGCTGTTGATTTCAACCTAAAAAAGAATTACAAATTATTAAATGAGGTTTTAAACATCTTAAGAATCGATCGAATGACCAACGGACTGGCTGGCTTTCAATGTAGTTTCAAAGTAGGCCATTTCAAGTTGGCACACTCCATGTAGTGCACAAAGATAAATAAAAGGCGAAAACTTCGAAGGAACTATAATTAACAGAAGTATACAGGAGAAGGAGTAATTACAAGGGGAAGCATGCGGACTTAATCGATCTGGGTGATCATATAAAGTGAATGTATGTGCGCCCTTGAGAACGAATTTGATCCATACCATCAACAGCCTGAAGCCATTGGTGGTCCTTAGCGTTGTGAGGACACCTGCCAGAAAGTCTGCACATCCCTACGTCAAAGACCTCACGGATTGATGCCAAGTTTTGATTGATTCGACGAGCTCTAACACTTTTGCAGCCTAATCTTATATTAGTTGCTAACATTGATTGTTGAGGAAAGCTATGGTTTGGCCTGAATAACACGTGCTCTAACCGTCTGGATCGATGTAGCCTCACAATTTGATTGATTGATGCCCCCCACGCTTAATACTACACCTAATCTCAGTACTATTCAGCATATTATACCACGTAGCATGGGAGATAGATCGCATATATCTGTGATCAGAGACAGCCTCTTCAGGTTGGGAAGTGTTGAAGAGATCTCACAAAATTGTACATACCTATGCAAATGGCATACACCTTTTATCGTTTTGCAATCCTTGATTATCTCTTTTTCATGTTCATATTCCTGTTGTTTAGTATCATGGGATTTCTGTTCACTTCCTTTGTTGTACATTTTAGCGGAATATTATAACGCCTGAATTCCTACATTGATCTGTATGTTTATGTGCGTGTGAAATTAGGTTACACAAATGGCTGACACACACATACACACGCGACATTAGGACTTTGCTTGTAATACATGGAGCTAACCAAGTACTATTAGTTAATACAAGAGTGACTCATTTTTCTGTTGAATGTTGTTGATTAGTCGGTTAGTTCTCATTAGACTACTTTAAATGTCAGAATATTGTGAATTACAATTGTGCAAATTTGACATTTTACACTTATCTGACACCTGTTCTCTCAAGTCGTCTGTAGCTGGCTCCACGGTTGCCCATAAGCCCTCCTCTCTTAATCACACTATCTCCCCCATGTCACCATCAGACTCATGCCTAACTGGTTGTTTCCCACTTAGCTTCCACTCAAGTGTATGTGTGTGTGTGGCGCGCGATTTCACTAAACACAGTCTCTTCGCAGTATTGTCTAATCCATCTGCATTTTCTTCTGCATATCTGTTGGGTAATGTGTTCTTGGTTGATTCGGTGCCAGAGTTCCTTGTCGCTAATCTTTTCTAACCATCCGTTCTTCAGTATTGAACCAGTGAAGGCAATTGGTTGAAGGTGACTAGCAGTGTGATCCAGAATATGCATTTCGTCCTATTTGGGACTCGTCATCTGGAAGTACCTGCATTCCTTAGTGAGTGATGGTATTCTCACAAAGGTTCGAACCCAGTACATAGAACTAAAACCTGCATCATAGATTCCACTGCTAGTCACCTTCAACCAATTGACTTCAAGTTACATGACCAGACATTGTCGAAGCATCTGCACCAGGAGCCTAAATGTCAGTCTGAGACCGAACACTTCGGTCCAATCAATCGACGGGAAAATCTAAATTGAACTAAACAGCGAAGGCAGATATTAATGAAAGTCTGCAGTAGGCCTGCTTGTTGGAAATTATCTCCGTGAGGTAAGCGTCAACTCTCTGGGCCATATAGGAAACACTGACTAACTTGACTTTAGTGTTGAAAATCCGAATCTTGTTGTTAATGCTTAGTGCAGCAGATTTTGACACTGATTTCAGATTACTGAAAGTATGTCTTGGTTTTCCGATCCTTCTGGGCTTTGACATGGTTCCTCAATGGTTCCGCCTGTTGTAGTTGAAACGATCGAGCTAAGATGGGTAGATATTTTTGGTCTATAAATTTTATCTTATTCTTCTTTATCATTGTTTCTTCATGTAATTTGATTTTTTGATTTTTCTTTCTAGAGCTTGGTCACCAGATTTAATTGATAAACATCATTGTGCATGTCTTAAACCACAAAATCAAACTGACTATCAAACACTATCAACAATGTATGAAAATCACCCGCTAACTTATATTCCATTGGTTGGATTCAATGCATCATCACCATTTGAAGCAGAATCTCTAGCAGATTTAGCTGATGTAAGTGAAAATGTGTTCAGTGTGATGACTGTAATGTGTGACGGTGTTATTTTTTTGATACTTCTAGCATTTTTAAGTGTTTTCTTTTTCCTTCACGTTCCCCAGTGGAACAAAGGGCTTCAAGCTAGTGGCTTAAAGTTTCTGTGGCAGTGTTTATTTTACAGGATGGGGTTGCTAGCCTCATGCCCAACCTTTCCTCTTCACCAGCATTATTCCTGGCTTAGCGAGGTAAAGGAGTGCGTCGGCCAGTATTCGAACCCCGAACCATGTGCATGGTCGACGAGCGTCCTAACCGCTATGCCACCGATGCACCCGCGTTATCCACCAGACCACTTGGGCCACATTTTTAAGTTTTGGCTTACAGGATTTTATTTAATTTTAAGTTAGATCACAAACTAGCACATCTGTTAGAGAAACATTAGAAATCAGGGAGCACTGGATTGACTGTTTCGTCCCACCATATGACTCTTCAACAGTGCACACTCATAACCTCTTTACTAGGGGTCGAACCTAGGTTCTTCGGGTTACGAGGTGAGCTCATTGAACATCTAACCATTGGGACGGAATCCAATGACTCATCACTTCTGATTCTGCTAATTCGCGATCTATAGAGAACCACTGCCTTCAGACAATATCATCGAACCCAGCAGGGGTCACAAAGCTCCACTAGAATTTGAGGAAACTCCATTTTGTAGTCAGTGAATCACTAGTAAAGATTAGATTCTGTTCCTTACTCCAGTTTAAGTCTGTGTTTCCTTATTTTGTTTATATTTTTATATGTGCAGTTTAGTTGCCAACATAGGTCAGAGGTCATTATCACAGTTAGTAGTGAAAATAAATCAAAGTGTAAAATGTAATGAATAGTTATTAGGAGATAATCAATCGAAAACAAGAGTACAAAGAATCGGAAATGGGTGAGGAAAGAAAATTAGAGTTTATTACGCAACAAACCAAACAACAAGTAGAATTTGACACTAAGGCCATGATAGTAAAAAGATGGCTGGACAAAATGTTTCTAAACACTAAGTTGAGATTTCTTCCTATAGATGATGGCAAAAGATCCAACTTTATGAACGGGGGGGGGGGAGATGTAAGTGAAACCCTTTTTGATTTACTTGGTCCTACCTTTTAGAATATTGACACTGAATGAAGTCTCTACTGATGCTTCATGTGTCAAGCAGTATAACAACGTGCTGAAGAATTGAGGTTTTGACCATTCCACGTTTTTACTTCGACACTGAGATGTTGGTAGATGTTCATAAGCACATCCAGACAATGTCCTGCTCGTACAATTAACTTCACTGGAGTAAGTGAACTAACTGGTAAATGTACACCAAAGTTGAAAACGTTTCGGTTTTGAAATCACTCAGGAAGAATTTCAAAAGTTGTAAAGAACTTTTCATATCAGAAGCACTTCTTATTAACTGGGATCCCAATTTCTCGGAGGAGCAAGAACGATGGATTAAGAGTGAATTCCATCATAAAGTGACGAATTCAACACTACTCGGATAAGCGAACTCATTACGTGAACACATACAATTGGGGCGCGTGCTACTGACATGATTTATCAAGGCCTTGATGTGATTATGAGCAGTAATAATTTGTGCTCGAAACGTCAAGAATAAATATTACTGTATAACAACACTGTGTGATTTTATCAAAATTAAATTTTATCCATAATGGAGTTATACTCCACCACAGTTTCCAAGTTTTATCCTTATAGAAAAACTATACTTCAGTTACCGTTTATAAATACTACTGTAACAATAACTATTAAAACTCAAATTATGTTTTGATTTTATAGAGAGTTAAATTAATCTCATTGTAGACTACTTCGTCACGAACTAATAAGTCAGTTACAGGTCGCTGAAAACCACTACGAAGCAACCGACATCTGTTTCGTCCTAGTTTGAGACTATTACAATCTAACAAAAAACTTGGATTCATGGATCATTTAATATGTGGATGTGGATAGGTTGCTTGGAAAATGAATCGATCAGTTGTTTCATAAATAACTAGACAGACAAGATAAATATATATATATATCATTGTTCCTCTTATAGGTGCATTGGTGGCACAGCGGTAGAATGCTCGTCAACCGCTCATGTGGTCTGGGGTTCGATCCCCAGCCACCGCCGCACTCCCAAACCTCTCTAAGCCAGTAATAAGACTGGTAAGGAAGGAAGGTCGGGCGTGAGGCTAGCAACCCCAATCCCGTAAAAATAAAACAGCACTGCTACTGAAACTTCAACCCCTCTACCTTGAAGCCCTATGTTCCAATGGGAACGTAAAGGAATTTTTTAAAAAACTGTTCCTCTTATAAATATATACCATCTGCTTCACCTCGTGATGTGTCCACGCCTAATTTTTTTTCCTTCACGTTCCCCAGTGGAACCTAGGGCTTCAAGCTAGTGGCTTGAAATTTCTATAACAGTGTTTATTTTACAGGATGGGGTTGCTAGCCTCATGCCCAACCCTTCCTCTTCACCAGCATTATTTCTGGCTTAGCGAGGTTTGGGAGTGCGTTGGTCGGTGGATCGAACCCCGGACCATGTGCAGCGTCGGCTAGCGTCCTAACCGCTATGTCACCGACGCACCCACGCTTAATTAACTACTGGGAATTCGATAGCTGTGTCGTTGACATGAATAATTGTGATATACATGATCATCGCGTCTGTGCCAGACTGTGCGTCCTTATTCAACCCAGTGATTTTGCAAAATATAAAATAATTCATTAAAAAATTCCCAAACTAGTGTGTAACAAGTGGTGGCTTTCAATGATCCCTACTAACTGATGTGTCGGTCATTCTTCGTGACGATATCTACCTTGAAAGATGTTAACAACAGCAGTTAAATAGTAAAACTTCAGTTTATAAACAGATATCGTTTTATGCTTTTATTCATTAGGAAATACAAAAAAAATTATTGTAATAATTCTTCTTCTTTTAACACTACTCATTGTTACACTATCCGCCTATTATTTATTTATTTTTTTCCCTGGTGATTTTATTATCACATTTAGAAAAAAATCGATTGGGAGGCAATTTCACGTGGTCGTTATTCGTGGAAATCACAAGAATATCAAGATCTATGTGTTCAGTTGAATGGTACTTGGACAGGGACTAGTTGTCGACCATTCTATGTACCCGATGTCTTTTTCTTCTCGTGTTTACTATTTATAGCAACATTTATCTTAGCCTTTTCAATGAAGTCAATGCGTAATTCCTCCTTCTTTCCTAATCGTGTAAGTTGGTACATTTATTTATTGATTCATTCATTTCTGTTTTTGTTTCCACTATGATTTGCACTTGCTAACATTGTGCTGTTTTGATATTGTCACGATTCTACACTGCTTGAAGGATAAACTACCGTATATATATGTATATATGTATATATATATATAGCCCACCTTTATGTGCATGTAGTCTTTGATATACCCTTGTGTAGAGCTGAGTGTAAATCGAACCTTGTAGCTGAATACTATTCGGTTTGGTTGATAGAGAGGTTAACATATGATGAGGAAATCCCCTGTCTGTGAACATATTCTTGAATCAGGTCACTCAGCCCCCTTCCTCTACATACGATTTGTCCTATAGTAAAGCTATCTTCAAGTCTAAATTCACTCTAAACGTTTACGCTTTCATTGCCTGTTATATAAGCTGAAGCAGTAGCTATGCGATTCACTGCGTATTTGCCTGTGTTTTAGCGTCGTTAACCTGTAATTAAGGTCAGTTGACGTTTTGAAAGAATGAAGTAACTCTCTGTGTCTTTGCTACTCTGTATTGATGGTCTGTATATAATGATGGCTCTGTCGAAAAGATTCTTATTACTATTATCTTTGAGGGAGATCGGCTACTGTTGTAGACTGACTGGATAGGATGGGGATAGTTCCCCATCTGTTGTTGTATTTGTTGAGTTTAGTTAAACGGATTCTACAGTCGTCTTTGTCGGTAAAGGAAAACTATGTAACAGCTACCATCGTTGACCTTGGACAAATAATTGTTTTACTTGGTGGTAAATTGGACCACAGTGATCACGAATCGATATAGAGGGAGAATATATATCCATAATTGTGTTGACTACTACATAGTAGTGATGTCAAGACAGTCCTTCTATATGGTTTACAGACTTGGTGTTTCAATAAAAGCATCTTTAACAAACTGCTTCAGCCTTTTAGCAACAGCTGATTTGGCTGCGTACTGAAGACCAGATGGCTGGTCACAAAGGTTTAAGCATCAAGGAACTCTGACAATGAACCAACCAGCCAAGAATCTACTGCCCTAAAAATATGTCGAAGAAAATGGAGATGGATCGGACATACTCTGAGGAAATCGCTGGATGATATTGAGCGCCAGGTAGATGCTCGATAGGAATCCGAACTGAGAACCAAAATTTAGCATCTCGTCTGACGATGATTGGAAGAGATCATCTAAGGAGGAGATGAGAGCTAATGAACAATTTCGGAGCCAGGTAAAGACGACTGGAGAGAACAGGATGAAATGGAGGTGTGCTGTTGATGAAGCCGTATGTTGTTCAACTTGAAACCTAAGGGAATAATAATGATAAATAAAAGTTGCGAAATTGTTAAAAGGATGACTACAGATCATAGTGTTCGGAGATCCATTTTTATATTTCTGATTCTGTCCTGTATTTCTATCTCCAATAATCCCACTTGTCCCTAGCATAAACATGTTTAAGTAAACTTCCTAATCAATCCATTACTCACACAGCAATACAGAACATTCAGTCTTGAAAATAGATAATTAAATCCCGAACAGAAGGTATAATTTAATATGGTTGTTATGCCATCCGCAGTTCTGATTGGTTGTTCAAGGTTATGTATCGGAGAGATTGGCTGCTGCTACAATTTAACTAGGCCTCTCTGTCTATTGAATGAAGCACAGACGAAGAGTGACAGAACACATATTTGTAAAATAATCACAATGATGATTAGTAATAATCATCGGTCGTCATTATTGGCCATAATATTAAATTCTCATTGATGCTGAAGGTCGTCTGTTAATTAATCTACCATCTACCTGAGGCTACGCTTTAAGGCACATATACACACAAACGTTGTTTTCCAGCTCCGCAAAACCTCTGAAGATGGATGAAATGTGCTTCCTGGATTATTCGACTGTTACTTTCACCACAAAACTAGTAACCTGAATCTCATCAATGTCACAACACGTGTTTTGGGGGTTCAGGAGTAGGATTCTTGCCAGACACGCTACACAAGGTCCGGGTTCGATTCATGACTGGTGCGTTCCTGGACCTCCTTGGGTGAGTGACTAGTGAGCTCGGTAAAGGGGTGAGACTGGGCGTGAATCTAGCAATCCCACTCTGTAAAATCAAACTACCGCTACTGAAACCTTGGAAAAAGCAAGGAATAAAACTCAGGAAGAATACTCTAAAAACTGTCAATCAATGGGAAAAAAATTGTGCGTCGGTGGCATAGTCGTTAGGACGCTCACCGACCATGCACATGGTCCGGGGTTCGATCCCCGGCCACCAACGCACTCCTTTACCTCGGTAAGTCAGAGCTAAAGCTGTTGAAAAGGAAAGGTTGGGCATGAGGCTAGCAACCCCATCCTGTAAAATAAACACTGCTACAGAAACTTCAAGCCACTAGCTTGAAGCCCTATTTTCCACTGGGGAACGTGAAGGAAAAAAATGGGGAAAAATCAGTCTCCTACCTGAAGGCTATTCCAGGTAGTGTGATAAACAATGTATCTTATTCGTCATTTTCAAATTTCACACAGTTTCAGGTGCGAAGTCACAATATGTGTTAGCTGCTTGGTACCAGAAATGTAGATAATTACAAAAAGCAAGCGATATAAAATATGATGTTTCGTATTACTACTGCTACTACTGATTCATATAAGTAGGCGGGAGCTGTTCACATCAAACAGTAATGCTTCGTAGCCGCCTCAACAACCGAACGACTATTTCGCTCGTTTGGAGCTAAATCCAAGTAGGTATCCGGAATTCAGTTGGTTTCTTGACTGATTCATCTCTTTCTCTCCGAGCTGAGTTAGACCGTGGTGTATGTACACTGCTGACAAGAAGCTGGGACCCTAAAATGCAAAACAGAAATACCCATTATTTAGATCACCCCTATATATGGCTACTCGTAAGGTAAAATTAAGATTAGTTGGAATACGATAAATAACTTCAAATGTTCTTTGTTAATATTGACTTTATTTTCAAGTATTGGTTTTGTAGGGATTTAGTTTGATTGGATGGAGGATTTCATCATGAGCTGACATCAGTTAGGGAACCACTGGAAAACCTGGGAGTACTGGACAGCTGTTTCGTCCTAGTCTGGGACTCTTCATCAGAACGCACTCACCGGGGTTCGGACCCAGGACCTTCTGGTTACAAGGCGAGCTGGCTCGTAGACCATTGGGCCACTGGGACCTGATCCAATGGCCCATGATTTCTAACTTCTGCCAATTCAGAACATAGCGCGACCATTTCGCAATGTCTTCTTCGATGAGTTACTGCCTCATCTTCAACCTGCTCTACGCTACTGGTCACGGCTTCCTGAATAGGGTCAGTCACTAGTGAGCTTCAGATTAATTTTCAAGTATTGGTTTTGTAGGGATTTAAGTTGATTGGATGTAGGATTTCATCGTTTAGGGAACCACTGGTATGAACCCCGGTGGGTGCGTACTGATGAAGAGTTCCAAACTAGGACAAAACAGCTGTCCAGTACTCCCAGGTTTTCCAGTGTTTCCCTAACTGATGTCAGCTGATGATGAAATCCTCCATCCAATATTGACTTTATTTGTTCAGTATATACAGGGTAAGCTAAAATAGAGCTGGCTACTAATAGACCTTGTTTATCCCTTTTTTGCTTAACTATGCAGTGTGCTGCTGACCAGAAATCCGATAATGAACATGCCTATTTACACGCTATGTACAAATCTTATTATATTTTCTTCAGTAGTAGTCTATTCCACAGGTTTTGGAATGCTTACTTTGAATTGATGTTAAACTGTTGGCGCAGATCAGCAGGAAATCCAGTTTGAGCGATGTTTCACGCTCATCATCAAGGTGTATCTGCAATCTTGAAGAAGCTCATGCTGCACAAAACTTAGGTTAGACACACGGCTTCTTACCGATCGCCTACAACCATCTAACATCAGTACTGAGAGTGCATCATGATACCGTACCTACCTAGCTCGCTACTGACCACATTGCAAAGTTCATTTGATAAAATTCAGTCTATACCAAAACCAAGGATCAGACGAGGCGTGACATTAGTTAATACTTAATGTCCTATCAGAATGCTTACTCTACTTTTGAGTAACAAAAATGACTATTACTGATACAACCATATATTTTTTCAAGTTTGATCACGGATTGATATCAGTTAGAGAACCGTTGATAACCGAGAAGTACTGGACAGCTGTATATCTGTCTTACCCTAGTTTGAGACTTATCGGCAGTACGCACGCACCGGGTTTTGAATCCTGGACCTTCCAGTTACAAGGCAAGCTCATAGACCATTCAGCCACTGGGACGCGACTCAGTGGCCGGCTCATGAATTCTGACATCTACTAATTCGTGATTTTAGCTCGACTGTCACCCGTGGCGAGTATTTGTCCTCACTTCCTACAGGATGGATCCCAGTGGTTACGACTTCTCACTAGAACCCCAGGCAACTCCGTTCTGTAGGCAGTCACTAGCGTGCATATTTGTGTATTAGAAAGGTTAAATATACATTTTTACTTTTGACTGTTGTTATTGTCGGTTGTTTTTTTATCGTTATTTTCAGGTCAAATCATCATTTGACTGACCTTTTCTACTCCCACCACCCTTTTTACTTCTTCGTTTTCCTCTTAGTCCAGATTTTCTTATCAATAATCATTCTGCGTACTTTTATGCCTATTCCTCCTTCTTCCTCCTCCTGATGTCTATATATTTCTGATTGCGTACGTGCTTGCCTACGTGTGTGTGTGTGTTGGTCTGTGTGCTCGCGTGAAGAATAAGAAATCACGATAAAACCTAAATTATATTGACTGGTAGTTGTTTGGTTTGGTTTAGTTTAGTTTACTTTATAGTTCACTAAAACACATACTACATTTAGTGTTATTTACTAAAAAAAAAGCTGTAAAATGATGGGGATAAATGGAGAAATGTATATATATATTTTTTTAAGTCTATTTAACTGAACTAGCCAATCGACCGATCAGTCAATCGATACATCCACTCCCCCACTGTATCTCTCCTTCTCTG